TAAAAGGAGATAAATCCTTAAAATAAGGAATGCCAAATGCAGCCTTAGAAACTCAAGTGTATAGATCGAAAATGATTGAAGCAAGGTTCAAAATATTGATACGCCTAATATGTCGGTAGGGGCGTATCAGGCGAATCGATACACATTTTGGTTGCTTTTTTTATTTTTTTATTTTGCAATTGATTCAGGTCTCCTCTACCCCTTGAACCGGTCAGACCTCCGATATACCCACTGTGGGGGTGTATCGGAGGGGTCCCGGAACGATATGTATCGACCGATACAGGTGAAGGGATGAGAGATCCATCATATGGATAGCTGAACCCTGCAGGCAGGTAAGACGGAATTTCAAAAATTTCTCTCTCTCTCTCTCTCATGTGGGAATCACATTCATTGTTTTAGAAAATCTGCATTTTCAATGATCAATCTTGAACTAAGAACCGGACCATATCTGAAACCAAAAGGTAGGAGAGGGAGGTACCTGATACGAAGAAACAATATCACCCAATGAAGGTGTTCACACCCAAGGAAAACTCCAAAGACTGCTCCCACTGAACATGACACAGCGTAGGGTGGAACAGAATCAACAGGTTCTTCACAAGAACCAAATCCTTCAGTAAGAATTCGATGGAGGGTATGTGAGCATGACTTCATATCAGTTTTTCTCCAAAAACAGATATCAAAAACTCTTCTTGATCGCTCCTACAGTGGAGATCGAATTGGCAATGGCAGCAACAGCAGGAAGGCACAAGAGCAGAAGATGGTGCAGTCTTACTGTATCTGTCTTCTCTCTTTTTGTGATCTGAGATCTGTTGTATTGGGATGATTGGAGGTTCACTCTCCTCCTTTTATAGCCTTAAAGAGAGTTCCTAATCTCATTAGAAGTTTCTTAATCCAAATCTGTATTTAAACATTATATTGAAGAAAGTCAAATGTATGCAAGAAAAACAAGTTACAAAGCGCTAAAAAAAGTATTTGCATGCACAATATTGAAGATGTCAAAAATTTGTGGCTATGGATTTGAATGTCCTTTAAAACTTATACCTGACGCACGGTGAGAATTACTGAGTTGTGACCAGGTGCAAGTGCAACAATAGACTGGATTCTGTCATGTGGAAAGCGTCAGTGGTAGTAGAAGCTGAGTCTTAAAATTTTCAGTTCCTCTGGTGGCTCTAATAGTAAAACAATATTGTTTGGACAACTTGCAACTGTTGAACCTGGAAGTTTGAAGGTTTTTTTGGTCTATGCTTGACTTTATTATTGTTCCAACTGATTATTATTTTTTTCTCTTAGTCAAATGAGTTCAGCTTAAGAAGTGGACCATCGAGCAGGTGTCCAATCCAGGTCCAACTGTCTGGCCCAATACTGTTTTTATAAAGCATGGTCTGTCTCACATATTGATTGGAGCTGCTACCTGCTAAGCCCTAACTTAAATCCTGCAAATTGATCGGAATGGGTGAGACTGATGAGTTTATATTCTTTAAGCCTATCTAAATATACCTCAAGTGGGTCAATGAATGGCACCCCTGATAGTTTTGAGTTATAACGGGCTTGTAATTGTATATGGTTCCCGTTCATTGGACTATAGCTATTTGAAAGGAATATTTGTTGTGAGTTTGTGCTTGTGTAGGAGAAAATGAAAACGAAATTAAGCCTCTGCTCTAACACTTAATTGGGTTATTCATGACCATGTAGAGAGATTTGCTATTTAGGGTTTTATTAGGGTTTCTGTGGGGTGAATGTAAGGACTAAGGACAGTGTATATAACAAGTGGGAGGGTGGGGAGAGAGCAGACTAGTGGTGGTGGGTTGAGTTAAACGAGGAAGAGACTGAGAGAGTGAGAAGTTGGTATTAGTAGGTTGGGGATGAGAGAACAACGCTACGACTTCTTAGGCTAAAAATACGGATCAAACAAGAATCCATGGTGCCAGTTTCTTACAATTTAAGCAAATTTTATTGACTTAAACTAGCTAGTTCATCCTTGCATAAATTATAAACTATAAAAACTAACTGCACATCTTCAGTTTTTCTCTTTCAGGTTTCACAACCCATGAGTCCATGGACCATTGCCCACCCTGATGAATACGTTTCTCCTTTATTTTTTTCTCTTTGTTTGTGTTTGAATTTGAAAGCCCAATCTAATACTTACTTCATCGTTTCCATAGTTTCGGTGAAAGCCCAAATCCTAGCCCTGCCTAGCGGCCGGCCTGGAAAATTTTGCTGGGTAAGGCCCAGCTGATGATATGAAGACACTTGTGTGTGGCATACTGGCATATATGCCACATTTATGGCAGACAACTCCAACTACATTTCAGCATGTTTCCCAAGTTCAGGACCCAATATCGTCTAAGGTTCTACACGTAATACTGGGCTAATCATGATGCGCCACGTCAATTCTGTAGAGATAAAATAGGGCCCACGTGGCATGGTGTACGTGTTTTTGTGATTGGCCCACCCAGTATCATCTGGTTGCCGAAGTCGGAGTCAGAAGATCTGTTCTCTGAAGTCTGAATTGAAGATGCAGCGGCCGTTCAATATGCACTTGAAGCACCAGTTGTTAGTTGTTTCCATCCATGTGCAGGTTTTAGAAATCTGTACCTGTTTATGGGGACCGGCCGGCCGGTTTGGTCTAATAGTGTCCCACCGGCGTCGACCGCCCTTGAGGATACCTGGAGCTGGAAACGAAAAGGACGAAACAAAAAAAAAGAGTTAGTGTGTCATTGATCTATTGTCCTTTTCCCAGATCATTTTGTCAAAAAGCCATGGAATGGCAGCTGAAAAGAAAGAAAGAAAGAGATGTTTAAAACCAGGGTCGTCCTTTCATTTTCTTTTTTCTTCAATTGCTGGTTTGCCTCTTAATTTGCTTTTCAAATTAACTTCGCTTATGCTATTCTGCTTTGAGGCGTTGAAGAGCTGAGTAACAAGAAAGTCGATCTCCAGTTGAAAAATAAAGTATATCTTTTCTTAAATTACATTTCGTAACATAGATCTTTTGTTGCACAGCTTCGAAGCGCATAATTAGCAAAACAATACAAAGCTGTGTAGAACTGTTTCATGCACAAGATTGATGTTTTGACCGGAGGGATTTGAACAAACACGTACACTTTCCAGAGGAACCCTGCCATTTTGCTTTTTCCTGTACAAGATTTTTTGTTGTCCTTTTCAGGAAGGTAGATAAGATGCAGTTTTGATTTATTACAAAAATCTCCCTTCAAGTTTCTGACAATCATAAAAGTCTCCCTTATATTTTTATTTTAATAAAAACCTCCTTTCTATCAAACGTTGAAATAATGGTTCAATTTTTTCAAATACCCATTTCCCCCTTTTTAAATTATTTTGCATATATTTTTACTGAAATGCCTCTGTTTGAAAATCGAAAAAAAATCTCCAAATACAAGAGGAACACAACTATTTCCAACCAAAGATATAGAATTACGATCTACTATTGGGGATAGAAACTGTGCATAACGGCTAGTTTGAAATCTATTTTCACCAAGGAAGAATTGGCTATTTTCATGAAGGAATTCATCAATATCTCGAATAGAAAAGGAATCCGATGGAGTTCAGGGATAGAAAAAGAGGATAAAGTTGTCGAAGTGAGATTTTGGATGGAAGATTGAAATTGATACATAATTTTAAAAAGGGTAAAATGGGTATTTAAAAAATTGGATATATCGGTTTATCATTTTCTGTCTGAATCAATGACAAAAAAAAAGATTTTTGTTAAGTTTTTCAAAAGTTTAAAGGAGATTTTTGTTAAAGTAAAACCGTAAAAAAGGTTTTATGATTATCAGAAACTTCAGTGGAGGTTTTTGTATTTTACCCTTCCTTTCTTTGAAACACAGATATACGGTGAGAAATGCATCATAAGGTTATTATTAAAATAGAGAACGTGGTAAAATTGATAGTTAGAAAAGAAATTCATTTTGATCTTTTGTTTTTTAGAAATATAACAAGTCCTTATGAAATTGTGATTCCTAATATTCAGGTATAATTTGTAACAGATGAAGGATTAGGGCACATCTCATTTTCCATAAATTGAACCCTCTCTCTTGTAAAATGACAAAAAGTACCCCTAAATTAGAAAGTTAATACGTGGAGTGTAATGACTTTCCATTTGGCCTAAGTGCTGGATTTATCAAAAAATGGGATGTGCCCTCATAACCATTCTTATAATACTCTTATAATATTATTTGAAGTGAGTCTAGAAATTTGCAATTACCATAAAACATAATACTTTTGTAGCTTAACACCACTAAAAAGGGAATGTTTCTCGTTGAGGCACAAACACAAGCAGTTCCTGGGTAATGCATGCCCTCTCAATTATGATAATTGATATTAGTTTCACAAACACCAAGTTTACACACTTCTCAATTATGACTGTCCACTCCCTTGACAACAGATTGCACTGTGCACAGGCCCTAATTAATACGATTAAGGTTAATATCGTTTTCAGAACAAGATCCCATGTATATATAGGTCATAGAATTAATGAAGGTGGGTTGGTTGGTATTTACATAAAAAAACATGCTTATATAGCATTGGCTAACCCCAGGCTTATATTTATTTATGCTATTCAAAATGTCACTGATAATTGATATTTGTAATTTGTTTCTTGTTTATGGGGATTTATTAACAAAACAATCTTAAGTTAATTAAACCCTTTCCCTTTGTAATACAATTACAATTTACAAGCGAGGCTAATTTAAGTTTCATCAATCCAAAAAAGAGAAAAAAAAAAGTGAAAGTTTGAAGGTGACAAACCCGATGCACCCAAACAAGTCAGTCCACAGGTTCATGACTCATCATCAAGACGGAAATGCTTGGTGCTTGCACGGTTGCACCACTAACTACCCAAGAGTGAAGCCATATGCAAGCCAAGCCAACCCTAATAACTTAGTTAATTGCTTCCAGAAGTCAGCAACAGTGAGGAGTCCACGTGAGCAAACAGTGACAAAGCTGGCATTTACAGCTAAAGATTGGTAACATCACCAAAGCCCCCCTCCCCCCTTTCTCTCCCCTCCTCTCTCCTGCAACTTTCACCTCTCCTATAATCCATTCCTCGTACACTAGCAAGAAGATAAACCAAGTCACCACCGCCATTAATTTGTTTCTTTCTTTTACAAACATTGGCCCACTCTCCCCTAAATATCTTGCCTTGTAAGCACTCTTTCCTCTTTCATATTCCTCTTTCTTCTTCATCTTCTTCTCTGCAACACCATCTCTATCGTCAAAGGGCATGCATGAATGTCCAGAGAAAGGTAATGAATCGAAGACTATTTCACTTCTCTCTCCAAATATTAAAAAGCAGCACAAGTCACAACCCTAACCCTGGAAACTTGGTTTAATTAGCCTTCCATGAGATTGCGAGATGAACATTATCCCACGTCTCTATTTCATTTTTCTTTTCAATTCATCTTCTTTATTCATCAACTATATATGATGTTCATGGTGCCCATAACTTGATTTTATTTCGTCATATATAGTTTTAAGGAAAATTTCCATCCGATTGTTGCTTTTCCCTCCTTAATCTTATATATATATATTATGTATGTGTTTTTGTTTTGTTGGTATGCAGGGAGAGATTTGATGAGATAGGTAAGAAGATAAAGAGAGAAGCCGATGCATTGGATCGAATGGGAAGGAGACACATCATGTTGGGCCCTCCAGGGAGCTTAAACACTATTACACCTTGCGCCGCCTGTAAGCTCTTGAGGAGAAGGTGTGCACAGGAATGCCCTTTCTCTCCTTACTTCTCCCCTCATGAGCCCCAGAAGTTCGCTTCTGTTCACAAAGTCTTTGGTGCAAGCAACGTCTCCAAGATGCTAATGGTGATAACCTTAATTTACTCTCTCCGATCCCCCTGTATCGTTTTGATCGAGTTCATTATCTCCGTACTTGATGAAGCCTTATTATGATATGACAGTTATTTTGAATTTATGCCTTAATTAATTCAGGAGGTGCCGGAGAGCCAACGAGCAGATGCAGCCAATAGTCTTGTTTACGAGGCGAATGTGAGGCTACGAGATCCGGTATATGGATGCATGGGTGCAATCTCCGCCTTGCAACAACAAGTTCAATCCTTACAAGCTGAGCTTAATGCAGTAAGAGCCGAGATACTCAAGTACAAGTATAGAGAAACTAGTGCTAGTATTATTCCTTCATCTCATGCTGCAGCTTTGCTTTCTTCTGGAGCCGTGTCTGTTGCTGCACCGCCACCAGTCGTCGCCCCTACGCCATCGCATTCGCAGCCGCCACCACCACCACCGCCTCCTCTTCCTGCTTCCTCTTCTTCCTCTTCCATGTATACTCCCCCATCGAGCAGCACCGACTATAGCTCCATTACCAATGAAAATGTCTCATATTTTGGCTAAAAGTTTGTTGCCTTCTATTCCATTTTTTGCCCCATTTTCCTAGTTTTCTTTATTTTGAATGAATCAAGTGGAATAAAAGAGGAAAACAAAAACTATAAAAAAAGAGGAAGAAAATATTGGATCATCTGGAAGGTTCTTGATGAGTTGGTTCACTTCAATCCTAATTCATGATTCAGGAGTCGAAACATCTCTCTAAGTTAAATCTTGCTTAGTAATGGCTTCTTTCCTTCTTCTTTTCCATGTTCAAATCACATGTCACCTACGCCCGTAAGGATATTTCAAGCATTTCTTGATATTTCTGTGGAATCTGTTTCTCTTCAATTCTTTTGGCTTCAATGAAGAAACAGTAATACAAAGGAATGTAAAATGAAACCCAGAATTGTTCAAGTCCTCATGGTTTTGGACACTAGGTTGGATTCAGAAGAAAAGGTTGTGGAGGCTCCGGCAAGCCTGATAATATTTCCGACTAGCCTTATCTGGTGCAGTTTAGACACGTGGGAGTTGGATGAAATCCTGGCGTATACGGAACCTTTGCACGTGTGAGATATACGGTTGACTGTGCTACTGTATTGGGGTTCCTGTTTGTGCAATAGGAAGAATCTGGAGCTGAAACTGAGAACATTGTTAAAGAAAGTGGGACAAAAGGTATGATTGATGTGATTCTCCCTGTGAAATGTTAGATGTTGGAACCTTCTGAAAATCTGATTTTAGTGGGAGAAAGACTACAACAAAGTGATTTTCTGTAGGATTATCTTACTACCCCTGTTACGAATTACTGAAACTAGCTAGCAGCTGGTCATCGTTTTTCTCTGTATCTGGTAAGAAAGTCGGTGGTCACATGTAATCCCATGTTACAGTGTTCTATCTCTCCAGTTTTAGGGTTTATTTATTAAGTACTATTTACTCTACAGTCTCTATCTACTCTTTTTTCAATGAGATCTGAGTGCTTTCTTTGCCAGTTTTTATTAATTTAATTTAATTTATTTCTCTAGTTTGTTAGTTAAGCTAAAGGGAAGTCCAGTTGGCTTAAATCCATTAGAACAGTAAAACTAGTCTTGAATATAATTTTAAAGTATTGAAAAGTGAAAACCCACATGTATCTTCAGATATTCAATAATTTGGTTGATTTACCTGTTAGAAATTTTATTTTATTTAGAKTAGAAATTAATGTACAAGAGAAACTTCAGAAATCTCTCTCTCTCTCCCTCTCTCTTATATTTGCATGATGTTTGAACTCTTGAAGAGGTAATACCTTCAGAGTTGGGGTTGTATTTCTAATTTGAGGCCACACCCTGAGCTATTGGCTATTAAAATAGGATGTCTTTTTAGCTCTTTAATTTAATCAATAATGAATTACTTCATACTTCATCATCATATAAATATTAATTACTTGCAGAATACTTCATGATACAAATATCTGAAGTATCATAATGTCAACCGAGGACCCTAAGAAGCATGTCATTATCGCTGTGTGTTATTCTAAATCCACGGATAATTGAGTCGGCCCCATGAAAGGAACAATATCTGCCCGCAGGACAGTAATGGACGTGGCTCTGCCTTCGGGAGCATTGAGAGATTTTCTTTCTTTATTTTTGTAAAATGCGAGCAACGTAACTCATATCCATTTGGCTTCTTCTAGAGTCTGTGTGGTCTCTCTAGCTAGGTGGTAATCTTGTATCATTTTCCCATAGAAAAAAAAATATCAAAGAGTATATATATATATATGTATGTCATGCATCTGTAGAGGTTAGAGGTTAGAGAGAAGAGACTAAGAGAGAGATAGATACATGTATAGTTGAGTGGTCAATGAGCCTGTTGCCAGCTAGTTCTATTATATATATAAATATATAAATGATGGGTTTCCTTAGCGTGTGGAGTTCAACCTGAGTGGGAGGGAGGAAAGAGAAAACCCCTCAATTATATAAAGAAGAAAATCATAGGGAATTGTATTCCCTTCGCTATCTCCCATCTTCCTTGTTGTTTTTATTATACTTCTGCGACTGCGACCCCATTTGCATTTATTATTTATATATACATACTTATATGACAATATGTCTATGTGGAACCAATAGGGGATGTGATAGAATTTGGTCTGCCGTCGTGGTTGCTTCCAAGGGTGGCATCTTAGCTTGTCTTATCTCAACTCCCCATTACGCTAATTTTTATTTATTAAAGAAGCCCTTAAAAGAACTCCAATTGTTGCTTCTTCTTCCATCCAAGAATTTGTTTTTGGTCTCCTTTATGTAAGAAGCCAGTTTGGTAACTGTTTATAAAAGAAGGGAAGTCATTAAAATATATATAAAACAAAGAGAGTTCAATTCACAGTGTAAATATGGTTGAGTTCATTAAGTTTGGACAACTAAGCAGAATTTTCTATGTCTGCTCAGCTCTGCTTGTCTCACTTAAAATGAGCTCCATTTAATTCAAGTTTAGATGGAGATTGACATGGCATGTGAACAGATGAGTTTCAAGACTTCTTATTTTAATTAATTAATTGTTTATTTTGTGGAAACTCTGGGAATCTTTTCTCAGATGCCGTTGTATGAGGACAAAGATGACACTTATTGAAATTGGTTGATGAGCTTGCCAAAGGGAGACTTATTTTATTATATTGTCACGGCGGCAACTTAATTAATTATGTGGATCTATGGGGTTAGTTTAATTTAATTCTAGCTACAGTGAGTACCGTATACAGGAAATCTTGCACCACACATAAGTTAGCGTGTAGTATGGGGAAATTCTAGGGGCTTGAAGTATGGCAAGACTTGATTGTTGAGATTCAGTTATCAATCTTACCAAATATACATGAAAAAGTAAATATATAGTAGCTAGCAGCTACTAGGTTTAGACTTTGGATCGAATCATGGTTGAATGCTGTACAAATATTATAGGGTTGAGCTAGCCTTGTTATATATATATATATATATATATATATGATCATGTCATGACAATGACAAAAGCAAAAGCAATTAAGCAAAAGCGACTAGGGCACCTCTCTTGTTCTTGTATGTATAGCTTTTTACATGGAAGTCTTCGTGCTAGGAAAATGGAGAGGGTTACGTTGCTGCTAGAGGCCTCAGGTGATGGGACACGCCAACATCATATTTTCCCTGCAGGAGGAAGTCATCACTGTCAGTATAATGGGCTATCTTAATTAGTATTTCTATACTAATTAAGTCATCAAGGTGAGCCAATTAACTAAGTTYGAAAAGATGGTCTATATTGTTCAAAGGGAAAAAGAAAGAATCCCAAAACCTTAATCCAAATGCATAAAATGCGGGACTTATTGACCCATGTCTGTGCATGAAAGCTTAAGCTCTTTCTCTCTCTCTCTCAACAGTCAAGAGAGCCTGACTGAAATTCAGTAAGGAACATTTCATATTTCATAGACTTGTTCTTTTGTTCAAGACAATAAGAGATCAATGAGAAATCCACTTAGCAAGCTTGATTAGAGAATAATATCTTCATAAGAGATTAAGAGGATACGAATGCTAAGAATAAGTAATGAACGTAGCGTCCACCCATGCATTCCAACCATTGATCACGGATTTTCTCATCAATTAATTGCACCTGGGTTCCACATGATTCATTTATTTCTGTAAATATTAATAATGTTATTCTAGATCAACCTTTCCAGATAAATAGATGGATGCTACGTGCATTAGTTAATAGTAAAATTAGCATAATTGCCCTCTCACTCTAATTTATGTATTCTGCGCTTCTAGGGAATGAAGTTGAAGCCCATAATGTTGCATTTAATTAATTAGCCTAAAACTCAAGATTTTCGAAAATTGAAGAATAATAAATGTTTTGACTGCATTAGAATTTTTATACAGGGCTGACAACTAAATATTATGTATGGATGGATGTCAACAAGGATGCAATATTTTATATTAGCTTATTTTGTATAATTAATTCGATTCATTCTCAAAGAAAGCGTCACCAAAGATTCCACACTTCTATTTAATAAATTTGTATGTCAAAATTTAAATTTAAATAAAATGTAATTAATTAATGGGAACTTTAATTGCATCTTTACCCCAATTAAATAAGGACTGCTTTAAGTTGATTAATTTCTTTCCTTCTTAAATAAAAGCTCTGATCAAGATATATAGGGACCCTCCGGAAGTAGTAGAGTACATAGGGGGAAGAAAGAAAAATGTATGTCTCTACCTTTGGGAAAAGAAATTCACAAAGAAATAGGGATAAATTATTTTATTTTTTTAAACTATTATTGGAAATGTCTAGTAATTAATTATATTTAAATTAAAACCAATCTTCAAATTAATTTAAATTACACAGAAGAATGGGGTTTTAACATTTTTAGACTTTAATGCCATCTGTCAAACAGCTTAGTTAATTAACCTTTTTTTTTTTCGAAAAGCTCATAGAAAAGTTGTCATATAGTTGGAGTCTGGAAGAAAATTATGTCTCCCTTTTAAAAGCCCAAACAAGATTCATAAGAGCTGCCTGCAGGAGTAGACAGCCAACTCTGCAAATATAGTTGCCATTTTCCAATGCGGAACATTATTTAACGTGAATAAACATCCGATAAAGAAGTAGCAGGAACACATATATATATGTAAGGGTCACAAAACTTAAATAATATTGGATGATCCAAATTATAGTTATTTAGGCTGAGTTTGGAAGGAGTATAAATACAAATATGTAGAGTGTAAAAACTTATATTTTGTATTATTTTGTATGTATTTATGTTGTATATATTTGCATTTGTACTGCTTCCAAATTGAGTCTTACGATTAAATCACTTTTTTTTTAATTTTTTAGTTTAAGTGACATCAGTTAGATTCTCCATTGTTTAAAAATTAGCTAACTTATATGGCATGCAATTAACGGGCAAGATCCATCCAATATGTGCCACACCTGGAGCTTCTGGTTTGGTCTTAAAGATCAGTTTGGAAAGAGTACAAATACAAACATGTATGATGCAAATACATACAAAATAATTCAAAATACCAGATTTTGCACTGTACATATTTATATTTGTACTCCTTCCAAACTGAGCCTAAGGTTCAGAAATTCGGAAGGAATACAAATACAATACAAATATGTACAGTGTAAATATTTGGGAAGAAGTACAAATACAAATATAGAGTGTAAAACCTTGTATTTTATATTTTTTTGTACGTATTTATAATATTATAGGGATTTTTAGACTGCACTCCACATCAAAATTTTGATTTTAACTGCAGACCTACAACAATTCAAAATTATAAATATCTTCACCTATAACACTTATATCTGCCCATGAATTGACATCAATTCCAAGTTGACACATATCCCCAACCGTATAGTGGAGCTAGGATTTTTGGGGTGGATTGAACAGTAAAAACCCCATTATTATATATATTTGTATTTATACTCTTTTCCTACTGAATCTGTTCAATCAAATGTTTTTCAACAACTGCCATTCGGGTCTGTCTATTTATTATTGATCAACCAGATCAATGAGGTGAACCGACTATTGGATTGGCAATGGAAAAGAGAAAAAAAAAAAAAAACTATTATATAGCCTTTTTACTAAACCTTAGCTAACTAGCTCCTTATATATTTGGCAATTAATATAATATCCAACGTCCCCCAACTATGTTCCTGAATAAAATGATGCTAATGAAGATGAACAATTTATTTCCTGAGTTTTGGTTTATATATATATGGTTTTATCCATGGTTTTAAAAACCGACCTGGTGATCAAACCAATCAGGGGTCTGATTATTGGGTCGAATGGTTTGACCATTCGAACTGAATGCTCGGCTTATTCTGATAGAAAAATAAAAAAATAAAAAATTTTCAAAAATATAAAAAATGTTCGAATGGTTCAAATGATTAACCGATGGGTTCAGCAGTTCGCTGACTAAAATCAACGGTTTTGAGAAAAATGAAAAAATAACCGATTCCCAGTTTTTCAGTCCGACCGCCTTGTCCGGTCCAATTTTAAAAACCATGGTTTTATCTCTACACTATATTAATGCCCGAAAGAGATGACAGGTTTGCTACGCAAACTACGGAAGTAACAAAAGAATTGTCATGGGCGGGGGGAGTTTTCATGATGAGAGATATTCACGTCACACAAGGAATTACGGTCAGTATATAAATATAAATTATATATGTTTTAGTACTTAGATGAAGAAAAGGCATGATAGAAATAATACAAGGCTGGGGTTGATCGGGGCGACCGGCGTGAAATAATGAGCAACGCAATTAAAGGAGTCCGTTGAATTATGAAAATAATTAGGTTTGAACTTTGAAATATTTGCCATCTTGATGTTATCCCTCACCTTGTCCTTGCGAAGGAAATTATGAAGGGGGGTTTGTATTTAGACAATTAGAGGATCCATCCACACACGTTGCATAGGTGTGGAGGGAGAGTCAGCTTTAGATATCTAAGAACCAGTCAGCCAGACGGCCAGAGAGGTTCGTTTTGACGTCTAGCAAGTATGTTAGAGAATAGAACTTATTCAAGAATCTCATTTAATCATTTAAGTTTTTAGGTTGAATGAGTTTCTRAAATGGTATTAGAGTCATTTTGATTAAGTAGTCTAGTGTTCGATTCTCGTTATCTCATTATAATTAATTAAGTTTTAGCACAAGTTATAGGTAGGCCTGTGCTATTCATACTTTGAGCCAGATGGGCTCTGTGAAAGGACATGTTAAAAAATAAAATCTATTCAAGGACCTTATTTAACAACTTAACCTTTTAGGTTGAATGGTTCTGTGAGAAAGTAACAACAGCAGCTAGCTAGCAACCAGCCCCGTCACATTCACATATACACCACCATATATAGGTTCATCTGCCAACTTCCAACGCCTCCTGAAATTTAGACATGCATCAACTTTGAACTTTGAAGGATTCTCTGTAAGTGTAGTGTAGTGTAGGAATAGGATCATGGGGGAATGGGATTGGGACACAAGGAGCAACGAGTACTTGGTAGATAGTGAGTGATATTGATTAATGTACACACAAAACTGTTGACATGCATGTGCCATGTCTAAGGGTCTAAACATAAATACATAATTAATAAAGGAGAATTCATGGCTGGGAGCAGCTCAGCTAGTAGATTATAGCATGAACTAGAAAGTAGAAACCCTTTCCTTTCCTTAAGAATTACATTATCATTTTTATTTTTATAGTATATATTTATAACTAGTGAGCACCCATCATGCGAATGCGATGTAGGAGTTTTATTGTTAAGCAAGATTGAAACAAAAGAAGTTATATTGACATTTGTAGTTGAGCCATACCAATCCAATAAGTCCAATTTAAGCATTATTTTTGGGTTATTTCTAAGTGGCCCCATGCTCTCTGCTCAGCTCTGGTAACTTAGAGGCGAATCAATTGTGATGGCCCTCCAGTCCAGTCCAGTCCAGTCCATAATATAATGAAGTTCCGCAAGTTGCACATGTCCTGATTACAGACCACGCCCGTGCAACCAGAACCAGCCACTCCAATGCGGAATGCAGTGTTGAGTCTTGACCAGATTACCTAAAACCAACCTTGGCCGTGGGCCTTAGTCGCATCACATGACCAACTTGGAATGACAAAAGAGGGAATAGAAGCAGAGATGCAGATTTTTCAATTAAGGACTTCAGGTTCAGGTCCTTATTCTAATTCCATTAATTAGGGGTGCAAGTTGGGTTGGCCCGAGTTTACAGTTTACACTGTTTCGGGTTGGGTCTATTGAAATTTTGACAAAATTCCAATTCTAACCCGAAAAAGTTACACTCCTACCATTAATCTATCTGACTATTCTTACTATACTAGTATTTCCCCAATTCCCCCCTCCCCCCCTTCTTCCTCCCGATTTATTGATTTTTATTTCATGTTTATGATATATCAATGAGACCAACGAATAGACGTTACAACACGAAACAAAAATAGTGAATTTATCTTTTTCAAGGATCCCACATCGATCTGGTCCTCTCCTCATCAACTACTTTATTGGTTAGCAAGATTGCCGACATTCTACAAGGGACCTGCTTCCGGCCTCTTCCCCCATGATTTTCTGAGTTTAAAATCCAAATCATTATCCTCTTCACCGACAAGGGAAATGAGTAAAACAACTCAAATTCATTTATTATTATTAGATTCTTTGTAGCCTATATTATAGTGTATACGACGTATGTATGCCCCAAAAGATATTTAGAGTTGTACAATCTTCCACCTGCCACGCGCTCCTACTTGGTAAATTGAAGTTAAATACAAGGAAGAATGATACCAAACCAGATCCAGAGCTGCCAAATGTTCAACCCAGTTCTCTGTTTGGAGTATACCTTGAAATTTATTTGCCATATAGGGTCCACTGGATAATTGGAATTTGCAGAATTCGATAGTAAGCTGTCTAGTTGTCTGATAACAGGCATGCACTTTGCTTCTGTTAACGGTTTTCTCTGCAGCATAGGTCCCATAAGTCACACTAAGAGTAGCTTCGGGTTTTTTATGAGGAACATTGAATACATTTTTGTTCGCGACCAGGAACCAAGTTCAATGCTCAAAGCCACTACAAGACCATACTCCTCTCATAAGAACGAACAAGATAATTTTCCTTGAGGAATGCACGTTTACTAACTGACCTCAGGCCTCAGTAGCCCAAGAAAAGACCAAATCCGAGGAAGCCCAGTTCAAACTGTTACTAACGATAAAAAAATTAATGATGTCGATTAGTTCAAACTGGGCCTAATTACATTAAATCCTTTTCATGAAAGCTAACCCTAGGCTCAATCCAATAATGTTTTAACCGTTAATGAAAGTGAGACAGAGAAACAAGGCATCAAGACCCGATCTTTTTATGTTAAGCAGTAATTTCACATGGGAGAATGGCTCCAACCCCCAACAGGAAATCTCATGGATCCACTTATAATTAACCAACCAATTTAGCCACAATCTCTAGCCCTTCCACAGCAGATAGGGTCTCCGTTACTAAAGAACCAATTCAACATACATAACAAATCCTGAATCCTAATTCCACACACAGCTCTGACTTCAGAGAAAGTCCTACTCGGTCTTGAAACATGTGGAATGTCATGTGCTAGAAAGCTAGAACCCAATCCATGCACAGAATTCTTCGCCACTTGAACATTCCAGCAATTCACAGGAAAAACAAAAAGCAATTTTCCCTTCATCTGCAACAAACTTGTAATTGTAGTTGTAACAAAGAATATACATACATTTGAATTATGTATTAGGGGATTGTTTTCCCAATTTTGATATACAATGTTAATGGGATACCTTAGTATCCTTCAGCAGATTTAGTGACTTCATGGATTGCATTCGCCAAGTAAGCCACATTTCCTGTAGTAATACCTGCCATGCTGCAACGATTGTGGTGCAGAACGAGTAAGAAATCAACTTTACTTGGCCTTCCAATTAATCATTAATAAATGAATTATTTACCAAAAAAACTTATCTCAGCCTAAATCTGGTAATTTAATCATGTGGATAAAATAAAATAACATTCATGCAGTCTTTCGTTGTCAATTCTGTGTGGAGCCCCATCTCAGTCTCCTTGAGAAAATAAATTATGTATATTTCAAGCTCAAATTAGTGGTATAAGATGTCTGAATAAGCAGTTCACTAAATCTATAACTAGTCAAAGAGAAAATCAACTTTTTCCATGAGAAATTGAGTGGTCTAATTTGAGCCAGCAAGAGCAAATGAAGTTGACAATACAAACATCAAGCTACATGTTCAAGATTATTCAATGATTGTCTGGGATATGGAACATATGAGACATCTCTCTGATCTAAGTGGTGCTTCACACATTTAGATGAGACGGGAAAGCATGTTTTGCTCTCCTTCCTTTCATTCTTTTCCACTTTTTTAATAACTGGGCAAGCATGGAATTACATGTCATAAATCTAAAAGCATTCCCGTGCCAACTCCAAAGCATAGGTCAAAAACGAGTTAATACACAAGATCCATGACAGAACATTATACTTCTTAAAGACGACGAGAGATCACCTGATACGGCCATCATGTGTCATATAAATATGGAACTTGTTTCTAAGCTGATCAACTTGTTCAGGAGTTAAACCACTATAGCAGAACATCCCAATCTGCAGTTTTGTGAGATTACAAGTTATGCTAGGCAGGGCACAACTAAACAGATTCTACATTAAGAGAAAGAGAAACTTTTTTCCTATATATTTCATTCTCTATTCTTTGTTCTTTTTCTTTTAAATTTTTAATCCATGAAAATGAAAGAAATTTTGAAGTCGAGTTTATCCAGAATTCAAGTGGGCCACTGACCTGGTTAGTTATGTGATCCCAATTCAGAGGAGATCCTAATTCTTCAAGATTTTTTTGTAAAGTAACTCGCATTTTGGTTGTTCGATTCACCATGACCTTTGACAAAATGGAAATTGTCACTCTTAGATCCTTTAGATCACATTTGGACAGGAAAAACAACTGAACAAATAACACTTTTCTAGAATGTTGACAGAAGTGAAGAACGGCTATAAAAACAAAATAAATAACACATTTCTAGAATGTTGACAGAAGTGAAGAACAGCTATAAAAACAAAATAAATAACACTTTTCTAGAATTCTACAACCCCCGTTTAGTGGTTTTGCAGGTGCTATTGTGCTAAAGGGAACATATAATTCCAAAATGCAATTCAGTAGACACCCATAAATAGAAAAGTTGCATTTAGGGTCCACCCAAAAAGGCTAATAAACAGTGAAAACAACTTTTACCTTCAACTCTTCCACCCAAAGATTCCTCAAATGTGGATCACACAAGATGGTGGAGACCAGAAGTGCACCATGAACAGGTGGGTTGCTGTACATGGCCCTGGCAATGTGCTGAAGTTGGCTTTTGACTGCTATTGCTTGTTTAGCATTCATACAAAGGACACTAAAATATTACAGGAAAAGATAAAATGAAAGCCCTTAAATAATTGAGCAGGAAAGTACAATAAAAAAAAAGAAAAGAAAAAACATGGTCAGTGGGGGCTCAATAGCATCTAATGGTGCTTTCTCCCATTCTCCTCAATTTAATACACTTTTTCCCATTGCAGTCAATCAATTCATGGGATATAAGGAAAGAAAAAAAATCCAATCAACTCAAGGAATTATTTTGAACATCCTATTCGTATTTTCTGATCATCCAAAAAATGCTGATGGGATTAGAAGCTTGTAAGTTTTATAATCAATAATTTGGCATTGAATTTTAAGGCAATATATTAATAGTCACCAAAGTTATAAAATGTGAAGGCATGATGTGAAGCATTCTACTACCTAAAAGCATGAGGCGTAGTTCAAAATGCAAGAGGTGTAAGCCTCCTGATCACAAGGTGTAAATCCTCTTTTTCAGGGCTTTTTTTTCTCAGGGGGGGGGGAGATAGAAGTTAGTTTTCCACCAATTTTATGTATCAATATCCCTTTTTCCCTGTAATAATTTTTTTATTGGGGAACATAAAAAAGAATAGCATTTTTTTAATGGCTGACATTTCATGAATTTAGTCATACTAATTAAAGGCAAATAATGAATAATTTTGAGGAATCACAAACCTTAAACATCCCACTCGTTGTCCATATAGACCCATGTTCTTAGAAAATGACTGAACACAGCCAATTAAATGTCCATCCTCTACAAAAATTCTGATTGCCTGAGCATCTTTACTAAGATTTCCACTAGCAAAACCTTGATAAGCCATGTCAAAGAAGGGAAAGTGATTCTTCACCTGAAAATTATCAATGTTAAAATTATATACTTTATGACGATGTAAAAGAGTTTTAGATGATTTGTGATGATTTTACTTTGAACTGATGGGAGATTTCTCTCCATTGTTCCTCCGTAGGGTCAACACCAGTTGGATTATGTGCACAAGGATGCAGCAGGAAAAAAGAATGATCTGGTGCATTCTAAACAAACAACCAAATAGGTAAGAAAAGAGTTAGTAGGTGCTCACAGAGAATGGAAAATTAAAAGAATTGGTTTATATATAATGTAATCCACAATTTGGCAAAGTAGTAGCCAACAATACAATTTATGCATGAAGTTTCATGCTTTCTCACCCATCTGTTTCTACTTGATGTTCTTCCTTACTATTGGCTTTAATATAGAAAGCTATTATGCAATATTGGTCCCAGCTATCTGGGATATTGGGAGGGGTAGACTCGATAAAAACCTAATCTTTGGCACTTTTTTGCACAAAGTGGCCGCTCTCAGACTCAAACCTGCATTCTCTTGCTTGTCAGCCTGAGATTTTACCATTACACTAAGCAATGGCTCCCCTCACCATTTGCTTCAATATGATGCATAAAAACAGGTGGCTTTTGAATAAATACCTTTACTATGGTGGGAGTTACTGGCTGATCCCAAATATCTGTTAAGTGAATGGAAAGGAAAAAGAAAAGACTTCTTATTAGGTGAACAGTGTCATTAGATTATCTCTCTTTTACTTCTTAACTAGAGATTTATCCTTGGTTTAGAGGGAACCCTTCTGAAAATTCTCAACAGTCCTTAAATGACACCAAAGAGGGGATTTGGAAGTAGATTTCAACTGGCAACTGATGGGCCTTGTTTAACACCTCATCTATGATACCCAGATATCTGTACAAGGGTGTCATATCATGTTGGATACTTTAGTTTTTAGTGTAAATGTCATATCCAATACTGTATCCAGCCATATCCAGGTAACATAGCACTTCACTAGGTGAACAACTGCCCCTAAAACAAAGATATATTTAGTGTCATCCAACATGCTGATTGTCAAGCTAAGAATTCTTAGCACCTTAGTTTTTGTGGAGATTTATGCCTCCATTCAGAGACTTAAGCAGCTGTTGAGGCAACCCACTTTCTCTAAGCTCCATCAGCTATGTCACATGGAAACAGCTATAGGTTTTGGAACAGATAAAAGGTGTTTGACTTTACAAGACTCACAAAATAGGATTTGGGGACTCAGTGATACAACTTAACTTTTATATTAGTAAATACACCTTTTTATTGTAATATGATAATAAAACAATTTTTGGAACACAAAAAAATAATAAATAAAAATACAAGGATAAATCAATACAAACAAAAGTAAGCAATTAACAATTTTTTTGGTATACAGTATATGTAAGCAATTAACAATTTTATGTTAAGAATTTGAGGTTTATAAGTCACAAACTCACATATTATAGATCCAACAAAGAATCCTCCCAAACCATGTTTTCTTATTGATATCCACATGATGCCCGCTTTGAATTGAGAGGGCCAATCTCTATTCAGAAAAGGATTTACTTTCCTACAAATGGTACTCATTTTTTGGAAAAATTGTTTGTTTTCCACAGCCATATTACATGCAACAAGATGCCATAAAATAACAGTTTTCAGGAAATCATTCATTTCCCTTCACTCCACATGCAACTAAATGGAGCCAAAATTTCCTATTTTTCTCCTATTACTGGGGAAAACCAGTGATTTCATAGCTTGACTGAGTTACTATTTCCTCTCATCTTTCTTCCCTCACAAACATAATGTCCTTGTATCGATTCCAAAGATTTGTATCTTAAAAATGCTGCCATTAATATTTGTCTTCTTTTATTGTTTTCTTCAAACCAATTAAAGGGACCCATTGCTCTAACCTCCTAATGTTGGATTCCTACTCTAGTTTCTAAATTAGGCTGCTAAAGCATGGCAGCAACAAGTATATACCATATATGTGTCACATTAATTAAACAATTTATATCCCTGTAACAGCCACATCGCATGAATAAGGAAGCATGAAATCTTATGCCACTCCRTATTACCAAACACTACCTATAAAGCTGTGGATGTCAATCCTATCAGATAGGCATACCTTCACATCATCCATGAGTGCGCCAAAGTGCAGTCCCTTAGATTCAGGATCATAATAGTGGTAGGTTCTCGATGGAACTCGGGCATCTCTCCAAATGTTATGGTGGCTATCAAGTATCAATGCATGTGAGAGGATCATCAAAACACAGCAGTGAAACAACTATATAAAACAATGCATTAATTGAGTGCTTAAAAACCTGATGAAAGTCAACAAAGGGAATGGAATAGTGTTGAATGAACTTTACTTGGACCAAGTTGGAGAAGGTAGGTAAATCTGTGATTCAGGTCTAAAACGCCTCTGGAACTCAGCAAACAGGCGGCATGCACCAGTGCCAGAGAGAGCTTGAACACCAGCAAACCTTCCTTCTTTTACTACATCTGAGTTCTCTCCATATGCCAGCTTTGCACTTTCCTCGACCAGTTTCACATTGCCTTGCCTGGAAAGGGATTCCCTGTAAACATCTCTCAAAAGTAAACTTCAATGCACTTGAGAGTTGGGATTCTGGCAATCAAGAAAAGAACCAATAGATTTCCATTTCAAAAATCCAAAATAACTTGGTTAATGTCAAATAATCAAATTCAAGGCACAGAGAAATACTACATCAACAGATGTGCACAGAAACCTCAAATCAGGTCCGTACATAAAACTGAAACCACTTTCACTAGAAAGCAAATAGATCAGTTTGAAGAATTATAATCCTAAGTAATACAAATTTTAGGCACGACCAAAAAGCTCAACCTGGATAAGACTACCTGGTGCAATAAAACTTATTCTACTCCACCAAATTTTGAATCATTGAACTGAACTGATGCAATAACTTTAATATTATCCTAAAATTGCACAGAACTTTCTGTTAACCTGTATCCATTCGTCGGGCTCCAATTTCATAATGAACAAATTTGCTTATATTTTATGATTCCCTTCATTGTCTTTCAGTCTCTCATAGATTTGATTGAAAGACTACAAGATTAGACAGACATGAGATGGAAAACAAGTAGAAATTCCAGTAAAATAGAGTAAAGTTGCATATAATTCTATATCTATACTACTATTAAAAGCATGAATGAGCTTGTGAAACTTTTTTCACTAAAATATCCTTGTTTCTGAATTTAGCCCCTCTCTAATTATGGCGGTAGAAAATGTAATTTGAACTATTAATTTTCACTTCATTAAGTCTTATATTTAAGGTATTAATTTTCCCACCAATAAAATTCTATCAATTAAATCTGTATCCAATACCTTTAACAAATAAAACCCATGTTTTAAAATTGGCCTCAAAATGAAACTATTCTTTTGTCCAAAAGGTGGGGTACAGGGTAAGTAATTCAACCCTCTAGGTCAAATGAGTCAACCGCATAATTAATTAATAAAAATTACTAAAAACATAAATTTTGTAGAAAACATTTAGGCCCATCTCTAATATCATATATTCATCATATTAAACAAAAATAAACTAGTTTTATATATACAAATACATAAAAACTGCCACGTGCAAAGTACATGCAAATATGCTAGTAAATATTAATAATTATTAGGCAAGCTATCTATTAGAAACCATTTGCAATAAATAGATGACCACCCTTTTATAAAAATAGTAAACACAAGAACATCAAACGAAAACCAATGAAGTAAAACCCGAATCAGTTAAGGTTAAATGCAGACAATTTTCATAAACAAAGAGATGGGCTGGCAGCGAGGTTGAAAGATGTCAACAGAGAAAAAGGAGTATTTCAGTTCAAAGAAAGCAAAAGCAAAGCATTTTGTAATTACATCAAAGAACAAATAGAAGAGAGATGAAAAAGGCATTAATTTCTTTAGAGAGATAAGTGGGTGGAAAAAAAACTAACAAGAACTCGCAACCGGTGATCTTGGCCTCTGCATCTCGAACGCATTGAAGCACAACCGGCTTCCCTTCATCATCACGATAAGCACCCTAATTATAAATTCCTCGTAAGCTATAAATGCAAATAAATAGATAGATAAACGTAGAGGAAATGAGTCAGGATAAACACTTTTCCAAAAAGAAATAGGATAAAATCAGCAGGTACCTTCCGTTAATGAAAACTGCAAGCATGTAGACTAACCAAACTCACCACTCCGAGATTGATTTTGTTGGGGCTGGAGTCGGCAAAGAAGGCCTCTGTAATACTCAAAATGGGATCTTTGGGAGCGATTCCGACATTGTGCCACCAATCAGTGGCCAAGGTTGACATAGGTCTTCTCCCCAGATATCTCCACATCATCCCCCTCTGTGCGTTCTCTGCTTTTTGTATCACGTATCAGGCTATGGGGAAAGCTGTAGCTGCTGGACATACATATATTGGCTTCAAAACAAGGCGCTGCGGGACGCGGAAGCACGAAGATGGAGATCAACGAAGAAACAAGTAGGGCAACGGCAGAGTATTTTGACGTTGGTGGTAGCTGAATTGTGCTGCCTCCTGGCTTTTGTTCCTGTGGGCGGCCTTGGTATGAATCTGAATGCTTGCTTGTTGACATTTCAAGATGAATTTCGTTTTCCAAAACAACTTACTACTCTTAGGTAGCCGCATCTATATCCCACGGTTTTTGAAGTTTAAATTGAACTTTGTGAAGATAGGAAAAATTGGGTTCTTATTTCTTTGGCCTCTTCAATAGATTCGTATTTATTTTATGTTTTTTTTTTGGGTAAATTCTGAAAACCCCAGGTATGGGGCATTGGGGTGTGTCACTTTATCAGTGAACTATATGAAATTTATATAGGAAAGACGTTACCAGCGAACTCTGCGAAGCTTATATAGGAAAGAGATGATACCGAAAATTTTGTAAGTTGTAACCAATCAATGGGCATCATAAAAGGGTATATGATTCGTTGACGCCTGATGTTTCAAAAGGAAGACAGGTTTTTGATGTGTGCAAACTGCAAACCCCTGTATACAAAAAGTTAGTCTGTTCATAGATGAAGTCATGAAGGCTTTAGCTGTGACTTGTAAGGCTAAATGGAAGACCAAACAAAGACTATATGAACTGGAGATGGCAACCACATAACTGCAATATCTAGGGCTGTTCATGAGTTGGGTCAAATCGACTAAACCGATCAATCTGTGCCCAACTCGAATTGAGTTTGGCAGGTTTTTTAAGTTGCCTGTTAGTTTTGGTTTTTCAAAATAAGTTAATCCGATATATCGAGTCAATTTTGGTTTGAATATGTATAAATTGACCAAAACCAGCCATACAATCTATCTATATGACATTTAAATTTTAAAAACATAAAAAGTTGGGTTTAGAAAGGAAAGTAGGGATGAATAATAGACCGATCCAGTCAAACCAAGAAATCTAACCTTCACCAATCCAATCAAACCAAGAAATCGAACCTTCACCAACCCGGGAGGTTTGTTCGATCGGCCAAAATACTTGCAACCGGACCAAACAACCCGAGTACACCCCTGGAAATATCCCAAAGTAGCAAATAGTTTCTTTGTGTGGTTTATTTTGGAAATTTTTTCAATTTATACGGTTCAATTCAATAATTGATTGATTCTGGTTTGGTAAGTGTTTAATAATAGCAGGAACTGCATGTCTTTGTCTTTGTTGAGTCATTGAATAAGCCAAACCTTTCACCGAATGGGGGCAACGTAAACGTTAGATTGACCGTGTGGCCTTGCAATCATCCCTGACCTAGTGACCTGTGCAGTGGTGGACAGCAACAATGGTATATGGAACATTCTTTGGACCCCATTTTGATGGGCTATTGGGCTTGACCCTCAAGAAGCCCTTGTACCTTTGTTACGTCCAAAAATGTAAGAAACAACAGGACCCCATTTTGATGGGATATTAGCTAATGATTCATGAACCCCGGCCCTATTTATGTTTGTGTCTTTGTGCGATTTAAGGATTTGCGAAAGGCCCCGCTATTAATTGCTCCAAAATTTTTACCGGAATCCAAAGCATTCTCGAATAAACAACAAAGGCGATAAGGTCAAGGTMAAAAAAAAAAGGATGATTGTACTTGATTTGTCTTTAAAATTAATTGATAAAAGTAATAATGATAATCGTTTRTGACAATTGGGCGCCATTAGTCGTTATATCAGCATATCAGTGAACAAACGTTTAATCCTTGGGGAAAGTGTTAAAACAAAATTCTCTCATAAGTGTATACATAAATCAACATCAGTTTTGATAAACACCTACGAAATAAAATACACATTGTATTACACCTTTGATCTTATATGTGCTTTTCTGGCGCATGGCCGATTGTAGATCGAACACCTAGCATAGTATTGCTTGGGCAATACTTCGTTCCTACCTAGTTGGAGGAGGATATGAGTCCCATTATCACTTGATTTTCAAATTTAAACCCTCAAAACCTCAACTCTAAACCCTTAAAACTCTAAAATCTTAAACCTTATAAATCATCTAAACCCCCAAGTCCTAATCCTAAAACCCTAATTTTAAATTTTAAATATATTGTATAAAATGCGTTTAGTAGGTGATGAGGACAGATTTGGCCCTCTACTGACATCATGACACATGGCATATCAGACCAGCTGGACTACATCCCAATATCACCTAGGTGACAACTTGCCTTAGCCAAAATGGGGTCCTAGTTGGCGACYTGCCTCTGCCGTYAACCTTGCAACCTACTTCTCCCGTTGGCCTAGTGACCTGCCTCTACTGCCGACCTGGCGACCTACTTCTATCGCTTACTTGGCGACCTGCCTCTGCTGCTGACCTAGCGACCTGCCTCTGTCGCTGACCTGGCGACCTACCTCTCTAGAATCTTGCCAGTTGTCTTCGAACCTTTCGGGATCACAATGCGTAACCGTAGGCCTTATCCTCATCCCGTCCGAACCGGAGGAAAACGGTAAGCCTTATTAATTGGCACGTTATCCTCATTCCAAAGTAGAACGGACCCCTTTGTCGTGGGTCGAGGATTCCGGGAGAGTTTCGCGAGACCCACAGCAACCCAACTATATAAGGCCATCAGCCCCTGAGACCCAGTTAGATGTGCAATTTAGTTCTTACAGCTCTCTAGCTTTCTCACATTTAGCTATCTTAAAATCTCTTATTCGCTAACTTAAACATCGAAGTGCCCATCCCAAGTAAAGCAACCTGAGCACTCTGACACTGTTTCCTCGTAGGTCGCATCAGAGCCACCTCTCCAGCTTATCACATTCAGCTAGACGTCTAAGCCACTTTCCAGGTAGGAACCATTCAGCCAGACGTCCAAGCCATATTTAAGGTAAGGATTATTTAACTAGACATCCGAGTCACATGCCAGCTGGGAATTGCCAAAATCCGCATCATGAATAGGACAAATGTCGTCCAACTGCACCTTATGGGTTTACTCACCCGTTGACTCGCACGCATGTCAGACTCCTTGGTCCGTGTTTCAAGACGGGCCGAATGRGGAGCCCACAGGCCGATGCCCGGAGCACGCAGGTGCCAAAGCACGCCTAAGGGCGCGTGCTGCCTTCCCCATTGCTTAACAATTAAGGGTCACACACACCCTCTGTCTTCATTCCATTACTTAAAACGGCCAGCATTAGTCCACATGTAAAGCACAAACCGATGAAATAAATCAGGGCTTCTTTTGTTTGTGATTAATATACCCGAATCTTATATCGGAATCCGGTGCGGAATTAATACGTGTCCAGTCTTTTCAATAAAGCCATACCATTGACAAGAAACCCTTATTATTATATTATTACTGCATCAAATTTCAAACACATTATGCTTCGGGGCAGAACTTTGTTAGGAATACTTGGAACGAACTAAAAAAAACCAAAAAAAAAAAAGTGGTGGGGGTGGGGGGAGAACGACAGCAAAGAACAAAATACAAAAAATTAAATGGATGCATGTATGATCACTTGATCAGAGAAGCTATATAAATATAGATTCCACTCTTAATTCACCCTTCTACAGTTCTTCCGGATCTCTCCATTTGAGCCGGTAAGAGGACTGATGTCTCCCATCTTGATCATGGCGGCAGCAAAGTCGGAGTTAAAGGTGCTTGGGTTGTTGCTATATGTTCTCACTTGGGAATCCGTGGAACCACCATTGAACAACTGTTGATCGGAGTGGAGAAGCCCCTTCTGGTTGATTAGATTCTTGAAGTAGTTATTGTCGAAAGCTGTTGGAGTTTGAAGATCCAGAGGCGCCAAGTTATTGTCTCCTGAGCCCGAACTGCTTGGGCACCTCCCCTGCCTTGTCTTGGCAAATGAACTCTCGATGTTACTCTCGTTGTATATGCGAGCCCTGAAATTGGTGCACCTTGCTTGTCCAATTGTGTGTCCACCTGTTTATTTTAATAATGAAATCACATATACATCAATATATATATATGTACAGCATCTATATATGAGAGAGAAAGAGAGAGAGAGAGAGGGA